CCCCCCCCCCCACCATCCCAGTATCCGCTTGCATAATGAAATATTATGTACAGCAAGATGCCCACATATCTGTAATCAATCCCCATTCCTACATGGGAAAGGAATGAGTTTGCCAAATTGCCTCCTGTCCATTTCCATTCTCATATCCAATCTGCATCTAAAAAATCTGTTTATGGCTAGTGAGTTGCTTGATCTTGTTTTGTATCAATACTCACCGACTGGAACAATGTATCAAAGCTAATAAGAAATATTGTTAGCATATATCTGAAACTATATGACCGTGATTTTTCCAGGTCCATCCTCCAATTTACCATTTATGTTATATGAGTGTCATGTTCTTCCTACCCTAATTGTCTTTGAAGTATAATTCTTAGAATCGTTCGTAGTAGGTTTTTATATATATGATTGTTTAGTATCCTCGGTAAATTGAAAACTTGAAGTGCCATATTGTATGTTGAACACTTTTCTATTGCTTAATAAATTTTACTTTTGTTATTCTCTTCTCATTGTAATGATTTCCTATTGACAGCGTTCAGGTTGCCTGGGTAGCGCACTAGCTCTAATTAAGAAATCATCAAAATTCCTTCCAGTGAGTTTCTTTTACCAAATTAATATTCCTTAACTCTTTTTGATGAGGATTATGGGAACACTTTTAAGGTTTAAGATTTCTGTGGAGTAACATGCCAATTACAAATATTTTCTTGGTTGACGGAGATTAACTTTGTAAAAAACAATGGTACCTTCTGCAGAAGTGCTTTGAGTAAAAGCTTATGCAATGTAAGCGAAATGCATATAGTAAACAGGAAATAACACTGGTTATTTAACAGCAAAATGAGAATCAGTTTTATTACTGTTTCACTTATTTTATCTTGAATCTAACACCTGCTATGCAGTCTCTCCTTTTATGTTTTTGAATATATCTTGTCTGCAGCTATATATTATGATTTTGTGAACTGAGGTTTGTGGTCAATTGAGGTGATAGGTTGGTAAAGCCTGGTTCAATTCTTGAAAGGTGTGCAATGGAATGAGACTTTGGTTTGGTAGTTTGGTTTCATATAGGGGATGGCTCTTGTGGAGAATTTCTGGACTTCTATTGGCAAAGATAAGAAAGAGGCGTCAGTGCTGGATTGTCTAGTGCAGGAGAGGGAAGAGATACATTCGCAATCTACCTCCATCAGAATGTTTAACTACAATGAATTTGAGCGATAATGGCACATTTTGATCGTTAAACAACAGTACTATTAACAGGGATGGGGATGTTAAGTTAGTGTGGAGGTGAAGGCAGTTCTCAATTCCATGAGTAATTAATCTAGTAGTTGGAGGATTTCTGAAAATGTTGTTTGGTTTTCCTTTGCTTCCCTTGGCAGTGTCTTTTATTTGTTTTGGCACTGGCTAAAAATTAGTTCTTGACTGTTGATCACTTAATTCAATGGAGTGGGTTATATTATATAGGTGCATGACAAGTGAAGTAGGGAAAGAACCGGTGGATCATATTATTCTGTATAAGTCCTTTAAATTCATTAGCAGAAATTGTTAAGTAATACCCTAGACTTTTGGTGAATTTGCTTTCTGGGTTTACAGTGGCGAGCCAAGATTTGTTGTCATTGGGGTCATTCACAAATTTTCTGCTCAACATTGTCATAAAAGCATATCTTATACACTTGTTAAAATCTATGAAAATCAAACAAATACTAAATTACTTATTTATATTTGTAATGGAAAATTTCAAACATACAATTAATTCACAAAAAGTAATAATCAATTTCAATCTAGCACATTATAAGTATTAAAAACGACTAAAATAAACAAAAGGGGATACGGAAAAAAATATACATGTAGAAGTCCATCCATTGTATTGATAAAAAATATCAATTCATTCCAAGAAAGAAAATTTTTTAACAAAAAACAAATAATATGCTATTGAAAAAATTAGTGATTTATTCTTTCAGTGGTTACTAGATAATCTGTCCATGGTGTCTTTAAATAGTATGAACTTTACACAAAATTTATTTGTACTTAACCTTGACAGCACCATATAACTCTCGCTAATAATTCTCTGCTTGCCTTCAAGTTTGGTGGAATTATTATCTTTATGTGTATGACTATTATTATTGTTCTTCAACTGAATACAATGCATAGTTTGGAAACTATTTACTATCCAACACAGAACCAATTGATAATGTATTGAGAGAAGATGCACATACTACTTTGACACATGCTATTTTACCGATGTGGGACCAGCTCTAAGCCTCTAACAGCAACAATTTGCATTAAATTGCCAGTCAGATTAGTCAATTGAACATTCATATTGGATGTCAGTTGTCTGCCAATTTATCTTAGAATTGTAGTTGATTAGTAGGGAATCAAGATCTGTTCAATAAATGCAGGTTATAGGTTGGTCAATGTGGTTTTCTGAATATATCTTTCTGGAAAGAAGCTGGGCTAAAGATGAGAGCACATTGGAGGTATATTTTGATACACCTGTCACATGCATGGATTTTGAAGTGGCTGTCTTCGTTTATTATTTTTACGCTGTTTTCCAATATTTTACTGCAGTCAGGCTTGCAACAGCTGAATGATTTCCCTCGACCTTTTTGGTTGGCCCTGTTTGTAGAGGGAACTCGCTTTACACAGGCAAAGCTTTTAGCAGCTCAGGAATATGCTGCTTCAGCAGGGTTGCCCATTCCAAGGAATGTGTTGGCCCCTCGTACAAAGGTTAAACTATCATTGCGAATAGCTGTCCCTACGTACCTTTTGCTTTATAGCTATGTTGGTGTATTCTATTCTGTTTCTGAATTTTCAACAAACTTTTACTGAAAAGATTAGTTGCAGAACATCTTGATCATCTTGGCAAGTCGAAAACTCAGTATATTCACTGATTTTTTAAATTAAGACCTACTACTTCTGAACGAGCCTAAATCTTTTGTCAGTTTAAGGTCTCTGAACCCAGTCAACAAATAGTCGCCAATTCTATTGCTTCTGTTCTTAGTCATATCTATATTTTGACTTTGTGTGCATTATTCTCAGGGTTTTGTTACAGCAGTCAGTCACTTGCGCCCATTTGTTCCAGCAATTTACAATCTAACCGTGGCTATTCCTAAAACTGAGCCTCAACCTACAATGTTGAGAATATTCAGGGGGCAATCTTCTGTGGTGAGGCAACAATATTTGAGTTATTTTGACTACAGCACTTGACAGTTATAATTTCATTACTTGTTTCTGCATGAATCGCATTTCTTCTTATGTTCATAGAGCCACTAGATGGAAAAATAGATTCATTACTTAATGATTGCTAAATTTTTAATGACACGCTTAGTACAACATCGACTTTTCTTTGCTCTAGACCAGTTTTAGTCAGCTATGGTTCTGAATTCTGACAGGTTTCTGAGTACGATTCTGCAGTTTTGTTTAATCATTTATTGGTCCTGTTTACGCCTTACAGTTACACATTTGTGGATTTGTTCGTGTATCTATCTTCCTATATTTTTTCTCTACCACCTTGGTACAAATCAATAACCACTGTCGAATAACATCCCCAGAGGAAGCACAACACCCAACCCACCATTACCACCATTTTCTGCCCTTTCCTCAGCCTCTGGTACTTCTTTTGATGTCCATTCTCCATATCCGCTCCACTTCACTACTCCCACCACACCGCAAACCATGGACATGCTTGAAGCAAATATAGTGCAGGTTATTGTTTTTGTCCCTAATTTCCCTCCCCATAAAATGCTATATCTAAGCTTTCGGTCCCTTTTGTCTTAAAATCTTGCCACTTTCTCTCTTCAAGATTTGTAAGCTCTAGTGGAATGGGTTTGTGAGCTTGTCTTCGAAGTTATGTGCTTTTGAGGTTTTAGGTGTGGTGATGATGTGTAGGAAATTGATGTAATGAGAGCCGTGAGTTACGTGTAATCTATCTTAACTAGATCCATATGGTCGTGATCCTTATGATTGAAGACCCAAACAAGATGTGAGGAAGAAATTTTCCAGTGGACTGGAGACTGCCGGCTGGTAGCTCAATTGATCTCCCTGGTGATGATAGATTAGGATTGTACTATAGTGACCACCACCTGATGACTGCCGGCTGATGGCTTGAGCAGTCGGATTGAAATTTTAGTTTTTTTGTTACCCAGTTAAACTTTTTTGTCAACTCCTATAAATAGGGGACGGTTTTTTTGACCTGAGGGAGGATCAGGATGACCATTAGGGTTTCTAAAGAGGCAAGAATAGAGAGAATACTCTTGAAAGAACCCTAGCCTTCCCACCCAGAAAGGCCATCTCTACATAGATCATTTGGTGCTTTGGCTCAGACCATTCATGAGGTAGAAGAGATATCTTGTAGAACACAGACAAATCTTCAGAGTTGCAGAGATCTGGTGGATTCCAAGATTGAAGGAGGATTCCAAGTTGAAGAAGGAGGATTCGAAAGGCCTCCTTGTTAAAAAAATATTTTACTATGGAATTGGTTGAGGTATAAGACTTTAATCATTGTAACCTAAGTTAAAAGCTTAGTGGATTACTGTAGCTAGCTTGGTCCCATAGTTTTTTCCCAGGATAGGGCTTTCCACGAAAAAATTATTAGTGTTGCTGGTGCTTTATCTCTTTCCATATCTTTACATTACATGCAATTTTTATGATCCATTGTGGTGCTTGAACTGATCAAATTTATATTCTCCTTGTGGGAATTAACATAAAATTATGGATTTTGGTTCTATTGCACAATTAGTTGCAATTAAGGACTGAATTGATTTAATTGGGCATAAACTCTGCATCGAGTGCATAAGACCTATTCACCTCCTCTCTAGGTCAATTATATGTTTGATTTCAGAGTGGGGGGTGCATCCAATTGTACTCCCATGATGGAATGAGGCGGTAGTGCCACATGAAAGTGGTGGTGGTTTTGGATCGTCTCTGCTGTAAATGAGTGGCGTTGATGATGTAGGGTCCTCAAATATTAAGGGTTTGATGGTGGTCGGACTTTTTATGCGGGGACAGTAGAGGGTGATAGATGGAGAGAGCTAGAGAGGTGGTGGTAATGAATGGAGATGGTTCTTCGGTATAGAATGGTGGTGGGTAAGTGGTGGTGTCATGGGTACAACATAGATTATTTGGCCATTTTCCAAATAAGTTGACGTAATCCAACCTGAAGGCCTACTAAACGTATTACAACTTCAGGGGTTCAATCACAAGCTAAACCCTGAACCTTGGGGGCCTAAATTTTTATTTTCAATAGTAGAGGAGGTCTGTCAAAAATTTGGGCATGTCTTAAGGTACCAACTGTAATCAAACAAACTAAATTTAGCTTATTAAGGTGACTGAACTCTGATCTGTCCATGACCAAAAACAAACTCTGATCTCACTATCATCTGAATACACAAGGTCATTTCAGTTGGATGTGTCATCAAAAATACCATTATATGTCTAATAGAACATAACAAAGAGATATGTATTTATTCTTGAAAAGAGTAAATTGGCCTTATTTACAGCAACAGTTTGAACAGACTACTAGGGTAATTGGAAGTAAATTTCATCCAAACAATATGCATTTGCATGCTTGCAGGACACATGGGCTTCTAAAGCTGTCCTACGATGTTTATGCTATTTTTTCCTATTTGTAGGTGCATGTGCACATCGAGCGGCATTTAATGCAGGATTTGCCAGAAACGAGCAGTGGAATAGCACAGTGGTGCAGAGATATATTTGTGGCAAAGGTATAGTGTAAGAACACAAAATTAATTTGAACCTGAGTTGTGGATAGCTTCTGTGTGCATTGTGGTTTGGTTTCAATTGATAGATTTTGGATGCATAGTGGAAGTAATAATATAAGGCTGAAGTAAGAGGTTTCATGTGCTAGTTAATCCTGGTATTCACATGCTGTGCTTTGCAACTAGGACTAGACCAAAAACATGATTCCTTAGTCCCTCTGCTGCAGTAATGTTGGTAGCAGAAGATACATAGCCGTTGAAACCAGATTTCTATGATATATCTTGGTAAATAAATCGTCTTTCCTTATTTTTGGATATAGTTATTTTTTCCAATTAGACACGGAGTCTTCATGTTTATCAAGGTTTACTCAACACCGAATATAAATGCTATGCCATATTATAAAAATAGCACCAAGTTTAATCCACATTAATGGAATTCTGGTAGGTTTAAATTGGATATAGACCCTTTTTTTTAGGGACACAAAATGGATATTCAGATAGGCTACTCCACATAGCTGTCAATTGCCCGTCACCACCACACACTTATTTGTAAGGGACCCCACCGCGTGTTCTGGGAGCTGAAAATTAGGTTTAACCCCAACGAGCTGTCATGGCCGTGGAGACTTGAACCCAAACATCGAGTGAGTAAATCCGAGTTCTTACCCACTGGACCATCAGCTCGTTGGTTGATATAGACCTAACATTTGGTATTATTTGCACAAAACAGCTGGCCTCAAATTCGGAACACAACCTTAATGTTATGGCCGTACAACCTTAGAGAAGACAGTTTATTTTTTAACTATCTAATTTTTGTCAAAAAGATCAGAGACTTTGGTCATTCTGTTTTCTTAGTTTATTTGTGTTGAAGGGCATTGATGTTTGAAATTTTTGACTTTGTAGGATGCTTTATTGGAGCTACATCTTGCGAAAGGCAAATTCAGTGACAAAGAATACCACGACATTGGCAGACCAAAAAAATCTTTGTTTGTACGATAACTTTCTTATGATTTGGACAAATATCTTAGTTTCCATTCTATGTCCCTTTTTTTTTCATTTATCTTTCATTTCTGTTGTGATGAACAGGTCATTATATCTTGGTCATGTCTCCTCATCTTTGCCACGGTCAAATTTTTCGAATGGTTCCCATTTTCCGTGGGAGAAATTGCATTTTGTACAGTTTTCATGGCACTTGTTATGATCCTTATGCAGATCCTCATTCTTTTTTCCCAGTCAGAACGTTCTACACCATCCAAAGTATTCCCACCCGATGCATTGAAGGAGAACCTTCTTCAGACATGAGCCAATATAAACTGCATTAACTTGTATCTACCCCGCACGTATTAGCGATTCCTTTCAACATCATCCATGGTTTCAACATCATCCATGCATTAACTTCGTTAGAAAATCACTAAATCTGCCTATATTCGGTTTAAAACTCGTTAAACTATTCTAAGAGTTGGTACTGGAATGCATCTTTTCTGTTGTGTATCAGTAGATGATTCCAACATATGTAGTATATTCAATGTGTGAAATACATACAGTTTGTATCTATTTTATGACATCAGCTACAGTTTGTTTACAGAATTGTTGAGTAAGGTTTTTTATTTCATGCTTTGAGAAGAGACTACATATTTCATAGTGGAGTTATGCAGGACTACTGTTTGCCAGAGTAGCTAAATTCTACAGCTAACTGTATGTTTTGCCTTCTTATTGTGCCATCGACTCCAATTGCATGCAGATCTATCCTAATTATAAAGTTCTTTTATAAATACCAAGTGGTGCACGTGTGCATTGCACGCAAGCTACTTGCACATATAATTTTTCTGAGTGAATCGAATATCATATGATATCAAAAAAATGACAAAAGAAAAGTATTTAACTCGAATGTACGTTGAAAACCATTATTGGAAATTTTTTACATTTACATTTTCAGTTCAAAGTTTAATGCTCAATGTTCATTTGTGTAGCTAAGTTTAAGAGATTATTTATTGTAATAAATAAAGAGAAATATAGAACTTTCATAATGCAATATGGATCACAAGAATTTTTTACAGTAGTTTTCCTATTCTAAACATATTCTCTAATCATTTTTATGGGATGCAACTCATTACTGGAGGACAATTGCCAGTTTATTTGGGTCAACCAGAATTGGAGGCATCTCATTTTACCAATAATAAAAAAAATCCGAACCATCAAAGTGTACATTAGGCTAGAACAATACTATTCGTTGAACAGTCCTTATGCACATAAGTGCAAATACAAGAAATGAAAGAGCATGATCTGAAGCTAAGTACGTTTTTGTGTGTGGGAGAGAAAAAGAGAACCGTGTTACTGTATGTGTATGGTGGAGAGAAGCTGTTATACAAACTCTTATCCATCAATAAAATTAGGGGTGTTTATGGGCCGGGTTACCCACGGATCCCGTTAACTCGGTCCAAAAAAAATAAGTCCGATAGTTTGCCCGCCCGAACCCGAGCGCAATATTCTTAAACAGAGGGCTTGAGTTTACCTCCAAACCCATTACCCGGCCCGTAAAGCCCAACCCACCCACCCACCA